CTCCTGAGAGCTTGTGCTCATCTGTAGCAGCTGTTCCCCATCAGCTCATTAAGGTTTTCCTACATAAGATGGAAGAGAGCTTCACTCCTTGCCAGATTGTTGAACCGGTTATGGTTAGCAAGCCTGAGCCAGCCTGCCTGTCTGACTCTCTAACTTCACCGGAAACCTGAACCTAACCCGTTTTGTCCTCTCTGCCTTCCAGGAAAGAACCATGTCTGTATCCAATAAACCTTTGGACTTTTTCCTTTGCCTCTGTGTGTGTGCTCTGCAATTGGGCTAGAAATCCTGCCGATCATGACACGTTGAGGACAAAGGCCTCCATACACCTCAGAGCTGCGTCTCATAGCTTAGTAGCCGCAGCCTGTTCAGAACAGTGGCAACAGGGGTTGACCAGGTGAAAAGCCGGGTCGTTTTTGTCATCTGCCTCAGTGGGATTGTGATGAAAAAGACATGACGTTCTCTATGGATTGTAGGCAGAAGGAAGTATGTTTTTAGAAGCAAAAATCAGACTTCTCCAGAGGAAAATGGACACCTAGCATGGCTTCAGCTTAAGCCCCAGAGGAACAGGACAAAGAGGAAGTAAAGGGAGTGGGCTGCTAAAATGATCTCTGTTGTAGGGATGTGATGTCAGGAGGACTCAGCTCGCTGTATCATTGACATTTGATCTCCGACACGAGTCACACACATGCTAGTGGAAAGCTAAATTGTTGTCACTGCTGCACTTGGGCTCACAGAGCCATAGACAGGTGCATATCAGTATGCAATGCAGAGGTAAATCAACATTGAAAGCCAGATTACAGGTTGCAGGGTGAACTCCAGGATCCGATGCTGCTGTCATTTTGGGGCCTTCTATTACTGCTTATTATATGAATTTCTGCAATAAGCTGTCAGATGATCAGAACTTTCACACCTAATATAAAATTATTGCAGCTCTGGTAGGGCTGTTTACATTGTCCCATACATATTGGTTTGCAGTAGTGCAATATTCTTAGTGTTCTGATATATTAAACTTTACAATTTGCTTAGTATTACTTTAATAGTGGAATAATTTTTTCCCCACAGTGTGGCTTGATTTTTCTTGATCACATGTTTGGTTTAAAGTTCCTTGGTCTTCAATACCTCCTGGTTTCTGTGTCTTCTTCAGGTTTTTTGCAGCTGTCTTTTTCTTCCCACCCAACAAGGTATGCTGTTGTTAAGTCTGACTTGCTGTAACCACAGCAGACCTATAAATGGACCGCTCTCTGCTGCTCAGGTATGTAATCGCTCTCACAGACTCAAACAAACCAAACACAAATCACTCTGAAAGGACTTTATAAATACAAGAGCATGAAAGGATAATAATAACAAATAAAGCCACCAGTAATAAAGCAGTAAATAATATTTACCAGAACTAAAAAAAAAATTAAAACTCATATGAAGTCATGGAAAAAGACGTTTAGACCCCCCTTGTTTATTTGCTCATGTTAATTGTGTTCTTCTGGTGATATACATTTTTTTCTTTTCTAGCTGTACAGTTTATTTTTAAATTAATGTTCTTTTAACATTAATCTTTTCTATATGTTTTTATTTCTTGTCTTATTGCTTTCCCCATTTTGGGTCTAAAAGAAACTTTTCCTCATCTTCTGTCAAGACTAGCAACAGAGGACCCAGTATTCTAGGCCACATAGACAGTGGGATAAAATTATAAAAAAAAACATTTATTTAAAACTGAAGGATATAAGAAGTAGCGGCTAGGTTGCAGGTGAGAAACACAGGTAAGTGACCATGTAAATCTGACGGAGGAAGGTTTTGAACGTGAGTCACTAACCTGGTTTACAAGTTCTGTCCATGCCGAGAGAATGATGCAGGATCCAGCCGGAGCTGCCAGAAAGATGCGGCAGGCGCCGCCCAGAATGTCCCAGATGCTGCTGCCCCGGAAAACATGCAGGAGTCCGAAGACAGGTCGCGCAAACAGATCGGAACAGGATCAGGCTGGTTCAGTGGTTGAGAGGCGGAACAGGAAATCAGAAACACCAAGAAACTCTTAAAACACTCTCACCACTGGCTAGAGGGAACAAGAATAATCTGGCACTGATGACTGGATGGAAGCGCCTTAAATAGAGGCATGAACAGGTGGATCAGATGAGCAGTGAGCAGAAGCTGGGCGCAGTTAGATAGGTGAATGGAATGAATAATTAAACCAGTCATCAGCGTGAAGATCATGTCATCTTTGAACGTCTTCATTCAGCGGCAAGTTCTCAATATTTAATATAGTTACAAAGTTTTTTCAATGTTCTTAAATTAATATCTTTTCTCAAAATAAAATACACAAATTCCCATGATATCAATGAGAAAACGTTTTTGGAGATACTTGCAAATCTATTAAAAATAAATACTAATTCACATATTACCCACATTATCAATTTGCTGTAACTCTGTTCAGTTTGATTCAATTCAGTTTGTTTCAGTTTAAGTAAAATTAAGTCATAGATATTTTACTGATCTCTGCAGGGAAATTAAATGTTTTAACTCTTATAGGGGATTCTTTGAGCTTTTCTAAATGTTAAAGTTCAGAGTCTTTGTAAAGAACAAGTAGGAACTTGATAACTTTTTGTCTCCCAGTGGGTTTTTCATTTCAGCCTCTGATCTATATGTCTGATTTGTTGTTGATTTATTTCAGTACAATCATTTTGTCATTTTTTATGTTCAGTCAGCATTTTGTTGTTATGTGGAGCCATATCTCATTAGTTTATATTTATTGTCCTTCTTTGGGATTATAACTGTTTTATATATTTATATATTATAACTGCCATATGTCTTTGTAAGTTGTTTTCATTGGTCAGTTATGTTGGATGGCTTTGGGGCAAAGTTATCTTGATATTATTTAAAGCTGTATTATTGTTTTAGTTCTGCATCTATTCCCAGTATAACTTCATCTGGGGTCCCTGTGTCTAAAATCATATCAAAATTGTATTTATTCTGTAGCAAATCGCTTAGATTATCATTGCATCTTTATTTTTTCTCTGGATGTTTCCTTTTGATTTTTGCTTCTGGGTTAATTTTGGGTAAATTTGTCCCATTTTATGAACAGTGTTTAATCTCTAAACCAGACATTTGTACCACAGAACATAAACAAAATAATTCAATCTGTCATCTATGTCTGTATGGACAGGGGCCCGGGAGCCTTGTAAAAATCAATACCAGTAATAAAAACAAACGGTCTTAAAACTGAGAGACAAATTCAATATTCAACAAAGATTTTACATCAGCCCAGAAGCTCTGCCTGTTTGTTTTAGAACTGCCTCTTTGCAAATATCCACGCAGCAGCTGAACCAACATGTAAGGAAACAGAGCAGCAGAAATAAGCGAATATTAATCACATTTCAACAGGATTCACATGGTGAGCAGAACTTGTAGAAAATGGATGTAATGCTGACACTATGTGGAGGAGGAGAGTACTGGACAATTTACCCACAATTTAATTAAAATTTCATTGTTTCCCCTAAACTATGGGGTACATTTTGCTACATTGTTGTTGCAATTGAAGAAGGCGTTTTAGAAATTAAACTTAAAAAAAAAAAATCTATCCAAAAATAAAACTTTGCCAAGCTTATGAATAAAAAAAAAAAAAGATTTTGTTGGTACCTTTGCTTTTTTGTCATATTTTCAAACATAATTGTCATAATTTTCTTTTCAAACTTTATTTCTTTTATTTTTCCAATTTAATGCATTCTTTTTTTTTCAAAATTTCTCCTTCTCAGATTGACTTTTTAAAATTACATTTTTTTTTCTAAATTACATTCTCTACACCTGAGGCCTGAAACAAATGAATGCTTTTGATGCGCATATTTACCAATAAAAAAGTCACTGCTGACATCTTCCCTCCTCACCCCAGAAGTGAAGGTTATATGATCTGTATTATGCAAGTTAAAAAAAATACAATGTGGGAAACTCAATCTGAAAAAGAGAAATTTAGCTAAATAAAAATTGGAAAAACTAAATTTCAGAGAACATATACATTTGAAATATTAGAATCTACATATCTGAATATTATCTATAATATTCAGATTAAATTATATATTATTACATTATGTTATGAATATTAGAATCTGCGTTACTCTAAAAACATATTTTTAATCAAGACATTTTTTTAATTTCTATTTATAAAACATCTCTTGAAACAATAATGGACCAAAATTGACTCCATATAAACAAACAGAATCTCTGAAGTTGCTAGAGGTCGGGTCTACGGCCTCCTGCTGTGATCATTTTGGGAGCCCCTTCATCGTTTCTTGTTGGTCCACTTTGTTTTATCAAGTTCAAAGTCAGAGCAACAGTCTAATTAGAGGCATTAGAACACAGATTCATCGCTCCGCGACCAAAAGTAACAATACCTGCTCTAACACCTGTGGCATGACTGAACCCGACAAGGAATCTATGGAGTTTTCTAGAAGAACGGGACGCCTGAGGATGACCTAAAGGCGGCTCAGATGCAGCTTCTCAGCAGAGTCACAGATGATCATCTCCATACCATACCAAGCTGCATTGATCCAAGGAAGCTACAAGAAGTATTTACTCCTCAGCTCATGGACATACAGTCCAGTAGGATGATGTTCCTGTGATAAATATCAATTTAATTGCTCTAATATTCACATTTTCTTAGATGTGCATTCAAAGTGTGTTTTAGCTATAACTTTTATAATGAAAAATCAAAAATAACAGCTGGGATTATGTTTCACTTCTCAAATGACTGTAAAGCACAAAATAATATTTTTTATGATGTTCTGCTTTATGCATTTGTGAATTCAAATTAATCTTTGTATAACATCTCTTGTCTTAAAATTATTTGTTAGACTAATAAGATTTGTGCTTAACCATGTTTCATATTTGCAAACATGCAAATAAAGAAGTTTAACTCTTTATTATTGCAATTTCAAGTTTGGAAAAAAAATAATAACTTGTAGCTTTAATGAGAAGGACCAAAACATAATGCTGTTGTGGCATTTCAAAAATGGTTTATGAAATAAAATTTATTCACAAATACAATAATAGATTACACATACTGGTAAGGCTGTAGCAAAATTAGTACAATCAGGCTAAAAACTAAAGATTACTTTGACACATTTCCATTATTTCAAGTAATTAAAAATAAAATCAGCTGCTATATTTTATTTTTTCCAGGTGCATCAAACAGAAACTATGGTGGAAACAAATGCTATTCTTTTTTTTTTTCTTTCTGATGGAGAACAATAACAACCTAAGGGATTTTCACTGCATTCGTGTGTTATGCTCTAATCTCTCTGTGAGGAGAGTTCAGTTTACGACTCTCCTTTGAGAAGGACTTTCCCAGGATTCATCAGGTTCTTTGGGTCCAGACTCTCCTTGAGTCCCTGCATGACCTGCATGGCCAGAGGTCCCACCTCCTCACATAGCAGCGCCCTCTTTCCCAAACCAACGCCATGCTCTCCTGTACATGTGCCGTCCATGGCCAATGCACGCCTGCAGAACAAAATCATTTTATTATAATATGAATGACAAACATGTATATATGAACTTTTTTTGTTTTGTTACACAATCAGTTCCGTCTCAACGGCCCAAAAAATCCTGTTTCTCTAGTCTTTTTATGGGCGCTTATGGTACTTTACTTTCTCATTCCTTACATTAAATAAATAATACAACTTTTTTCAAATGATTTTCTTATTTACAGACAGAAAAAAACAATACTGCCCAACTCTTCTTAGTAGGACTGTTTTAATTCAGCCATAATGGAGAGTTTCAGGTCAATAAGCTCTACAGTGATCTAGATCCATCTTCTAGAGACGTAATTGGGTCAATGAAACCATTTTGTTTTTTATTTTTTTGCTTTCCCTGAATGTTTCTTTTATTCCCCAAGTGCAGCACTAAAGCATTCAGGGAAAATAATATCCCCCTTCCTTCCAGTTTTCTCACATAAGACAGAAAAATAAACCATTGAAACACTTAAATGTTGTCGACCGTTCCAAACAGAGAAGGCTGCAGTTTGAGCTTATTAGTCACATTATTTGACATTTTATTTCATTTACACGCCTGTAGCTGACTCTGGTTACATACATGGTTTTTTTTTTTTTTGCTCAGCTTTTTAGAAAATTCTAAGCTTAATTTCAGGACTCCATTTATAATGCCAATAACAGAACAAAATTCCCTTCACATGTGGGTGAATGATGCTATCTACCAGCTCACACTGTATGCAGGGTTCCTACAGCATCAGGCGAGTTAAATTCAAGTCTTTTAAGACTTTTTAATGCCACTTGAAAGAAAAATTTAAGACCAAATTCACAAGAAACACAAGAAAAAACCTGCTTGCGACAACTTAACCCAAAAGTTTATTTTAACATAAACCACTGCTCTAATGTTTCAAATGTTGAAAAGCTTCCCATACAGGAAGAAAGCTAAAAACACACAAATGACAGATATATTTTAACAATTATTTAACTGAATTCACAAACTTTGTTTTAGCAGGGAACAAAACAAATCAGTTTTAAAGCCCCAACATAACCAGTGCTAAGTCTTTTTAGCAGCTATTTTTCTTTCTATGGTTTTCTTAGTCTGTTTGATTTGGTGATAAGTGGAGGCGTTGCAGAGACAAGGGTGGAACTAAACTGAGAAATACCGGCTGTTTCTCTCTAACTCCATTTAGACGCTTTGTGTTTCGTGCTTCGCATGTGCGACTCCACTGCCTTAATTCCCATCGTTCTGAGCTTGAATGACTTCTTGCATAAATCCACTGAGCCTCATGTATGTTCCCTGGTTTTAGCCATGGAGGAAACTCTTGGCTGGAGACTATTTTGGTTACATTTACACTTGCTCATATTTTCCAGACAAAAAGTTAATGGTGCATCTCCCAAATGTCCCGGCTGCAACAACGCTTTATTGGTTCCGCTATCGGGACGGAACCAATAATGGCGAGCCGTTATTTTTTTTTTATTTAAAAAAAATAAATAAAATTGTCAATATTAACGTTTTATTTGGATTACAAAAATAAATTGTAATAAAAATAATCCTATTTATGATGTTTTAAAAATTAAGACCTACAAAAGACTGATTTAAGACATTTTAATACCAATTAAGGCCTTAGTTTTATTTTGAAGAATTCAATGCCTTCTAAGACTTTTTAAGGACCCGCAGGAACCCTGTGTATGTCTAAAATCCAAGTCGGACTCAGCTCCGCAGTGAGATGGCGCTACTGGGATGCGTTTATCCAGAAGCCAAACGTCTAGAAGAAGAATATGAAACTCACTAGAGTGAAATGTGCTGCCTTGGCAATTTGGGCAATTTAGTGCTGAAAGCCCTAAAAAGAAAAGGCGACAATGTATTTGGACAAAGACATGGCTGAGCTAACGTGGCTACTATGGTCTGCCAATTTGACAGAAAGGACTCCATTTCACTCGCATCCGCCATGCTTCTGTGTTTTCGTCTGAGTGGAAGAAGAAGAAGAAGAATCCTTGTTTGCGCACTGAGCGATTTGCCCACGACGGTCGACTGAAAATCAAATATGTTTGATTTTGGGAAGTAGTCTTGAGAGACAGATCGCCCCTTGTTAACCCCTGTACACTATACGATGCACAAAAATTCTCGCACAACTGGAAAGTCGACCCGAAAAGGGCAAAAAATAAAATAAAAAAATCGCAGTGTAAGCCCGGCTTTACTCTGAATTTTAACAGGGATGATCATCTTATTTCAGTAAACTGTAGATGATGCGTGCTAGTGATGTTAGGCTCTAGTCAGTCTGCTCGACACAGCTTTAATCTTTTTGCACCAGAAGTCTCACTGAGAAATGTTTGAAGCGCAACCCAGTCATGTGGGGGCTGCTAGTGAGGCCTCGTTACGTCACAATTCGTATCAAGCCTCACAGTAAATCTGAATGATCTGGGCGTTTCAATACCACTGAAGTATTTAAATGCATCAGAATCGCAGCTAAAACGTGGGATTTTTTCCATTTGGGTTTATTTAAAGACTTTTTAGAATTATTTTTATATCTAAGTCTAGTTAAGAATAGATTCAGAATAGTTTGCTTCATGCACATAGATCTAAAATAGAGACACACACACACGTCTCTACCTACCACAGTCATCCACTTATTAATTTATAAAAGATATTTATTCACATGACATGTCCCATAAATTATTGATGCTTCTCCTATAATACGATCATCTTCATCAGTCAGAACCACAGCAGGAACATGCAGAACCTCTGGGAACTACTGGGCAGCAGAGTTGGTTCCAATCTATTTATACAGTTGTAGCTCACTTAAATATTAGACCACACAGGCCGGGAAGTTACCTTATTAACATAAATTAGCAAAAAAATACAGATATAAAATAGAGGAACAGGGAGAGATTCGAATTTACATGTTAACCAATCTGCCGAACGAGTTATACACAGCCCAGGAACCAGGGTAGGTTAGAATGTGGATACATAGTGACTGGACCACATCGTCACAAAGCTGTTCTGCATCAGAAGGGCTGTTTATCATATTGCAGTTTCCTAGGTCAGACATTAGTTTTTTTTATTATTTATACAATCATTATCAATACTATTATTATTATTATGGAACAAACAGATTCAGTGAAATAATGCGGACATTAGGACACTCTAATTTTAGCGGCTGGCTAGCTCAAGTGGTAAATCACCTGTCCTGCAAACAGGAAGCCTGGATTCGTATCCCAGCTGGGGGGGATGAGCTGCCAGTGCGGGTCCTTAGGCAAGACCCTTCATGCTAATGCCATCTTTGGGTAGTGGCGGCCTAGTGGTTAAGGCAGGGGTCGGCAACCCGTGGCTACAGAGCCGCATGCGGCTCCCTGGAGCTTTTTCAAAAATGTATGAAAAATGTATTTTTTATTTTAAAATGGTTTGCAGGAGGTGAAACAGACATTTATTATGTTCTATAATGCTGTAAACATTTGTTTAAGAAATACATTTAAACAATATATGTAAACATTTATTTGAACGAAAATGTGCGTCATAGCGATAGCGATCAGTGGTCAAAGCCTGCAACACGTCTCAGCGCGGCGCGGTGCCCGGCAAAGGAAGTGTGTCTCAGACCATGGATCCCAAAGGGGAGAAAAGGAAGATACCTGATGAGAACAGGTGATTCAAAGATCAATGGACCAAATCATTTGCTTTCATTATTAATGCGGAAGGTTTGCCTGCATTTTCGCTTTAGCAGGAGAATTTGTCAAATAATAAAAATCACAAAGTTGTGAGTGAGAGAAAAAGTGGGATTGCAGAACTTCTGGATAAATTAGAGGAGAGCAAAGATGGATTTAAGAAATGGATTGCATCTCCAGACTCCACTACTGCTGCTAGTTTTGTTTCAGGCATGAAAAAAACGTCCACAGATCAAACAGGTAGCGCTCTGATGCAGGTATGTGATTTTTTTTTTCAATTTTCCCCCCACAAATCCTCAAAATAAAAATAACACCAAGGAACGCTGGTGAGGGAGGATGTGGGATTTCAGGGTTAGAGAGCGACGCCATGATGGATGTCAGTTCCTGCTTGGTTCCTCACGACTCAATCAACTCCTCCCAACAGAAACACGTCCACCATAGAAAGATTCCTTTATCGTATTTCTATAATTTCATCAATGCAACAAAACCTAAACCGCGTTGTGAAGGGTGGTGAACTGTAGAGGTGAGAGCCTTCACTGCTCCTCCCTCACCTCATGCTACTATGTGACATTTGCTACAGGACAAAAATTTAATCATGAATGCTTATTATATATTTAAGACCACATAGTCCTTTTTTTTTATAGTGGGCTAATACACTTAAAGCCTGTGTTGCCATATAAGGCTTATATAAGGCTTATATAAGACTTCCAATATGGCTCATTGAGCAGTTTGGGTTGCTGACTCCTGGGTTACGTCATTGCGTTTGGAATCTCAAATACAAAAAAAAAAAAAAATACCTGCTCAATTGTAGTTCTAAAAGCTATCCAGCAGATGCCGCCATTCTAAACTGTATCAAATGTATCGAGCATGCTGAGGAGTTTTGGACAATTGTGTCAAATTGGTTCATTGATTCATGGGGCTTTGAAATTGCCAGTGGTTCCTTGGTTGCTTCTGCACAAACGATCAGTTTTGTTTTCACATGGTGGGCAGTTCTAGTCCCCTTTCAAACCCGTGACAGCTGATGATTGTAAACCTTGATGATCTAAGATTGTTTAGAAATAACCCAAAATCTATTTCCATCTTATATAAATCTCAATTTCTGATTCTTTTACACATTTTTGTTTAATCTGTTGTTAAATCTGCTATAATTTCAAATGTATTCAGTTTTTACTGTCCACTCTGTGTAGAAATGTTTGCAGGTTTGGTGTAGATTACCTGGCCAGCCTCTCTGTGAACAGGTGGACCCGCTGCAGCTCATCTGAGTCATTTGGATCCACAACCATCAGACAGTGGAAGTTGCCATCACCAACATGCCCAGCTATAGGACCTGAAACAGAATATATCCATTTCCATCAAGTCTAAAGGGCACATTGGATAAGATACAGAACATTTTGAAAGAATACCTTATTTTCTGGATTATAAGCCTCTACTTTTTTCACTCCTGCTTTTTCTGTGATTTTTTCCTAACCATCAGAGGGGGAAGTCAAAGACGGAAATGAAAGAATAAGGGCCTAATTTTCATCTAGCACAAAAACATGCTAGCAGCAGGCATGACGGAGAACAAATCTCAAGAATTTACACATTTTGACATTTATTTGCCACAATGTATATATGTATTGTGTTTCATATTTGAGACACACGCGTTTAACTGTGCTTCAATTTTTGTGTGTGTGTGTGCATCTCCAATCTCCACTGCTGCTGCTAGTTTTGTTGCAAGGATGGAAAACCAATCCCAGATCAAACTGGTAGCGCTCTGATGCAGGTAAGCGAACTTTCCTCCATTTTTTAATCCCAAATCCTCAAAATAAAAATTTTAAATAAACAATCTGATTTTTTTACTTTGTTTCTATAATGTAATCAATGTAACAAAAATTTTTAATTGTAATGTAATTTAAACTTAAAGCATAACATATCGTACAGCAGAGTAGTCACATGATGTGACATTTAATCCTGGATAACCATTTAATCATGAATGCTTCTTACATATTTACGCCCATGTAGTCCTTTTCTATAGTGGGCTAATACACTTGGAGCCTGTGTAGCCAAACATCTTATATAAGACTTTTACATTTTTGCAGCTCCAGACAGATTTGTTTTTTTGGCTCTTTGAACAGTTTGGGTTGCTGAACCCAGCCTTAGCTGATGTTTTTTTTAATAAGTTCCAATAATTCTTCTGCCTGGAGTTTTGGTTTATCCTGTAATATTTTGATTTATTTCCCTTTTTATTAATATTTTGGATAAGAGCTCATCTTCTGTGTTTATTTGTTAACTGCTTTAAATAAAATGCCCCTCGGGGACAATAAACGATTTCAGTTTGATTCCAGGTCCTTGACTCACCAGTCAGCTTGCTCTCCAGCAGGTCTTTCTTTGTCTCCACGATAATCCGGGGGAGTTCTGACAGAGGGACGCACACATCTGTAGAATAAGCCTTCATAAAACACACATACAGACGAGATGATGTCACAGTACCTCAGGCTCACTCAGTTACCATAATACAGTATATATTCTATTGATTTAGACAGATTCTGGTATAATAAAACAAAACCATTATTACATTTAGTTTAATAGAAAAGACCATTAAAATCCTGCAGTCAATATTATAAAAGGTTAAGACAAAACTCTTTAAACTTTGTACATGACAGCATTGTAAATTTAATTTATAAAAACAAAAGCCTTTAACATACTCAAGATATAAATAATAAATAAAAAAAACTATATAAATGTTGATGGAAGTTGGTTTGAATTTATTCGATGTCAGTCGAGTTATTTTTACCTGATAGAAACTATTTGGTCAAACATGTTTAAAACACAAACAGAAAATGCAAAAATACATTATTAACAAATCTGTGTTACGTTATGGTGTTGTCTTAAAATAAATTCACTATTTCACTATTTATTTATGGCAGACATTTGCATTTATTGGTCTTTTTTTTACTGGACCCCAGATTATTTCATACAATATGTCAACATTAAAAAATAAATATATAAACAGGAAAAAAACTAATATATGCAGTGATATGAATGTTTAAGGAGAAAATCTTTCTATAATGTTTTTACATTTCCCAAAATATTTAGGATAAATTTTAATAAATCCTTACCCCTTTACTGAAATATATATTATGAAGAAAATAAAGGTTATCACTTTTATCAATTTTGGTCATGTTTTACGATAAATAAAGATGCAATTCCTCTTTTCCCACAGAGCAACTCATCCATATTTACAGGCAGAAACTTTCAAGAAGACATTCTGGAAGAATAGCTGTCTTCTTCTTGCAACAGTAACTCTGATTTCATTTTTTCCCCTTAGTATTAAAAGTCTAGTAGTATAAAACCAAACAACTTCTTAGTTTGTTTGTATTTTAAATGTGCAGTGCTCCATGTTTTACTGTCCTGATTCGCTGTACCTTGCAGCCCGGCCTGAGCGCCTGCGCGGCGTACCAGGCATCATGACGAGCTTTCCACAGCCGGTTCCTCGTCTCTGCATCTCGAGCCCACTGGAAGTCGGAGCCTTCATTGCTCTGCGTGATCTCCTCTGCAGAAAACAAAAAACAAAAACCACATACATAGCCTGAGGATTTTGTTTGACTCCTGATTTTCCGTCACGTAAAACAGCTGGTTTCAGCGCTACTGTTACCCTAACACATAAAATATAAGAAGTCCTAGCTATCAGTGAATTCCCTCCAGTCTCACACACCCGCTGTGGTGACTTGTTCTTCCAGGCTGCGTTCTGATCCGTGAAACTCTAGGAACAGAGTCGGGGTGACCGGGTAGGACAGGGAGCTGAACTTGTTGCACGCATCGATCATCACATCATCCAGAAACTCTAAAGGTATAAACACACAGCAGAAACGGGTTGGGGAGATAAAGACAACATTTTATAAACATTTTTTTTTTATTTTGGTTTATGTGAATTTTAACTGCCAGGGGATTTGAGCCCATATTTATTTTTTCCTTACAATGCAACCTTTAAATAAATGTGCTGTGTCCTTGTTTCCTTACCGATGCGGGCGATGGGGACTCCAGCCTGTAGGATCTGCACGGTGCTGTCTACAGCAGCCTGTACTGAAGGAAAAGAGCAGACAGCCGACACCATGGCCTCTGGGATGCCGTACAGCCGTAACGTCGTCTTGGTAATAATCCCCAATGTGCCCTCTGAGCCCACAAACAGGTTTGTCAGATTGTATCCTGCAGAGGTTTTCCTAAAAAACAAAAAAGAACAAAAAAAAAAAAACTAAATAATAAAACCACAAGAGAAAAAGCTGCAGAGCGTATGTGACTGATGAAGCACCTGGGACGCCTGCCTTTCCCGGCCGTATGTATGACCGTTCCATCGGACAAAACCACCTCCAGGTTCATGACGTTTTCTCTCATGGTCCCATAACGCACGGCGTTAGTCCCAGAGGCACTGGTGGCAGCCATGCCACACAGGGAAGCATCGGCTCCAGGATCTAAAGCAAGTACAGCTAGATTACTGCAGGGTTCCACACTTAGGTAGACATCAAATTTAAGGTCCTTTCAAGGACTTTTCAGGACCAAGTCCCTAAAACCCGAATGTAAGATTTTGTGGCATATAGCTGCTGAATTCTATACATAAACAGTTTTAATATAATGCAAATTCAATAAAAAAAAACTGAATGGAACAAAAGTTTCTGGATCAACAGAAATAAAAGAAAGCAGTATTATTAGAAAACATATGAAACATGTTCAAATCCTAAGAATTATATCCACAATACGTGGATACGCCTAGTGATGGACTGTGCTGCAGCCCGGCAAATGTGTTGCAAAAAATCTTTAATTTCTTTAAGCCTTATATAACCGTCATATGCCATCTAGTCGTGAATAAATGAATATTCGAGGTGAAAAGTTTGTCAGGTTTAGCATAATGAGATCCAGTTAATTTTAACACTGCAGAACCCCGTTAATTTCACCCTGCTATAAGAGAAGGTGTCCATAAAAAAAGTGAAAAAAGTGTAATAGCCAGTTTTCATCTGGATAAACACCTTGTAGTAGGAAATCTAAATCCCTCTTTTTAATAAGGATAGGTGTCTTTTTATGGAATTTTTCAAAAAAAAAAAAAAACTCTCCAGGGCCTTGAACAAATGGTTTGAAATTCACAAACTTTCAAGGATTTCAAGGACAGGTGAGAACCCTATCACCAGGTAGACGGTGAAATGTGGGGGATGTTCCTGCGCTGCGTGAATGTTGGATAGCAGGGCTGTTACAAACCAGTGAACTTCATCGCTCTGAAAGGCTAAATAATTAAAGGAGAATTCCGGTTTTTAAAACTTTTAGCCCATTTTCTGTAGTGTCCAGGATGAAATCGAATGATCGACACCAAAANTGTAATAGCCAGTTTTCATCTGGATAAACACCTTGTAGTAGGAAATCTAAATCCCTCTTTTTAATAAGGATAGGTGTCTTTTTATGGAATTTTTCCAAAAAAAAACTCTCCAGGGCCTTGAACAAATGGTTTTAAATTCACAAACTTTCAAGAATTTCAAGGACAGGTGAGAACCCTGTCACCAGGTAGACAGTGAAATGTGGGGGATGTTCCTGCGGTGCGTGAATGTTGGATAGCAGGGCTGTTACAAACCAGAGAACTTCATCGTTCTGAAAGGCTAAATAATTAAGGCACCCGGCCAACAATCTTCATCCTGTTGGATTTTTTTATCTATACATCTGTAGAGGTTCCCAATGCTCGGAATTTGCTGAACCTTTTTTTAAACGATACTGATGTTTTATTACACATATTCATCCAAATCTAATTCTAAAATGTATTGTTTTCTACTATAAAATTAATTTGAAATTGATATTTGAAAATGGCCTTAAAGAGTATCTAGATCAATGTTAGCGTTGAGTTTGAATTGAATAATAATTAAGTAAATAAATATGACTTTTTGAGCTGAAAAAGCTTCCTGGATGGGAAGCGCAACGTCTTCAAACTTGGAAACAAAGTCCAGTGGATTGTCTTTTCACTTTTTTGGAATGAATCTGGATGACTGAGAATCTTCACCAGCATATTCAATAAAGCCACCTTATGTGTCCAGTGTCCAGCAGGTTGAGATGTTATAAGAATCCAAATAGAATAATAGAAAGAGGAATGCATTCGCTGCTTTTTATTGTTTTTATTCTTATAATATTTAGTGTGGTAAGGCAAGCACAAACTGTTCTTGTTTGCTCCATATTATCTAACGAAATTCAAAGGGGACGACAGTTGTTTCGCCAATATTGTTGGTTTGAAGTGGTAAAATAATATTAAACATGTATTCAAAATGATCCAGATAAGAATATTATTATGTTATTATTCTAACTGATTTACAGTTTATGTTGGATTTAGTTTTATGTGCCGAACTGATTTTCCTGTGCGCTGAGAATGAGGGAGCAGTGGACAATTGTGCGAGCGGGCAGGTTAGAGGGAGAATTTCACCTGAGAGCAGTTTGACAGCAGAAAAAGACTGAATACAGGGAAAGGTGTGACTGACCTACAGGAAACCAGAGGCCTGTGTCTCGTAGGTAGGCGTTAAGGGCTTTTCTGGTCACACCAGGCTCAACGGTCACATCAAAGTCCTCTGGGTGAAGGTCCAGGATCTGATCCATGTTTCTCAAACTGAAGCACACGCCGCCCTGAGCAAAGTTTAATTTAATGATAAGCAATTAAAAATGCTCCTGGAAACAGAGCCTTTCATTGCTGCGCTGCTTGCAGCCATGGCAGCAATACTGATGCTGATATTCTCTCACTTTCACAGCACCGACTCCTCCTTCCAAACCGGTCCCGGTGCCGAAAGGGATGATGGGAAGGTTGTGGTCGTGGCAGACTTTTGCCAGAGCACTGACCTCCTCCACACAGCGTGGGAACACCACCACATCTGGGGGTCGACATCTGCACAGAAACAATGCAAGATTCTTATCACTGCTTTACAAAAAAATAGCATGTAATCTTTAAAACCGGAGCTTAGAAGATTTGGTTCAGTTTAGTAAACAGATAACAGCTGACCTGTGTACCGATTCATCTTTACCATGCTGCTCTCTGACGGCTTCGCCAAGCGAGACGCCCTCCTCCCCACATATAGATCTAAACTCAGACAGAACCCTGCTCACTGCAGCCTTCTGCAAAAACACAAGAATCAATTCTTCAATTAGTCTGATGTGATATGTTTTTGAGAAACAGTGTTGAAATTTCTAATTTGGTTGCAAGTGATAATAAACCAAATTAACAGAAATAAAAACATGACTTACATCACTGTGTGAAATGAATATGTACAGGTTTGTGTTGTGTTTAATCACTAAAATGAACTGTTCACTGATATCCGGTTTCACCTCGGTGTATTGTCTACCTTTTATCAATTTAAAAGTTCATTAAAGCGTAAAAAAACAAACATATATGGGTAATAACTGCACATCTATATTTACACATGGCCTAGCATTTGTACTGTGTGGGAATGATATTTAGTTTGGAAAGAAAAGTCAGCAAAAGTGTGTTGAAAACAAAAGTTAACCATGTAAATTTAGAATTTTGGGGGTTTTTTATTAAACGAAATTTTCATTTCAAAACTGCATTTTATATTTACTTCCATTTTTTTGTCTGACACTGAAATTTTTTAAAAGTTATGAAAAATGTATAAGTCATGGAAAAAAGAACAATCCTGGGGGAGAGAAGGTGAGGATTTTTACGGAATTGTTCATTGCATATCTGGACATCAATTAAATTAAATTTAAATTCAGTATCTATAGCCCCAATTCACATCATGTCATCTCAGGTCAATTTATAGATCCAGATCAACCAGATCATCCAGTCAGATTGATTCAAAGTTTTCTATCTAAAGGAAAACCAGCTGATTGCATCGACTCATTGACTCTTCAGCAATCCCTCACACTAAGCATGCTTGTAGCGACAGTGGAGAGGAAAAACTCCATCACAACAGCCATCTGGCTTTGCTGATGTTTAAACTAAATGGATTTGGTTCAGTAGTAGTCACTGGTTTCAGACTCAAACCATGGGATCAAAACACACTGATAGACTGAGACGTGTTGACCATTAACCCGGACTTCAATTAGAAGCTAACCAAGTTGGCCCTCTGCAACCAGATGAGGAATCTGTTTGAATCAGTTAATTACTACAAATTAACATGATAGAGTGAGCATTTTACTGGGTGTACTTGAATGCATCATTAGCTGTCAGAAGCGCAGATGGTTTTAAGCTAATTCAAACGTAAGCTCGCCTTGAAGTTTACAGAAAAATCATAAATTGGGGTCTTTACCTCAGACATTTCATAAGTTTACTTGCTTTACGTTTAGGGGGAAAAATATGCAGTAACGTAGAAGAGCTTGTTCACAAAAGGAGAGATTACATGGTGTCAATATTGACGCTGTTTAGTTTTCAATCAAGTTGAGATAGAATAGAGCTGTCAAAAAAGTAATAAAAAAAATATAATAATATAATAAAAATAAAATATAAAAAACACACAAAAAAAATAAAAATAAAAAAAAATAAGGGGTGCCAAAAGATAGCTATATATGTTGAAACCAATTGCAATAGGCTAAATAACCTGAATAATTTCCGTTTCCCATTTAGGGCTCCAACCTTCCTCCAACTCAAGGATAACCTTTACTTCTCCTGCTTCCTCTTTAAGCACCTTCTGTTTAACGGAGGTGGAGGACTTTAACCTGACAACAGCCAGATGCATGGGCGGAGCGAGACATGCTGTTGTCAGGTTAGGAGGACTTACCCTGGCGGTGTTTTCTAAGCTGACGTAGCGGCTGTGAATGAGGCTCCGCCGGAGAGACAGCAGCCCACGGCTCCCTGACAAACCTGGGAACATTGTTTACCTGCGCTGCGCTCTCTGACCCGTTTATTGGTTGGTTAAGATCGCAATGATCAACGACACACCAAACACTTCCGCTGAATACTTTTCAAAATAAAACAAGGCACGGGTCTGACCTTTCTTCCCCTCTTGAATGTTTTCTTCACTTTTGTCTTAAATTTTATTTTGAAAAAATGAAGTCTAAAGCTAAAATAAAACTGTTTAATAATCATTTATTGAAATATATTCACATTTATTTTTTATATATTAAGATTATTATCTGTATCATCTTTGACAGATAAACACTTAAAGGCACACATGCTGTTATAAGGTCTGTTCTATATTAATAAAAAGCTTTTGCAACTCCCACTTCTTTTCAATCATGATAAAACATCAAGTTCCAGTAAGCAGGGGATCACATTCATGTTTTAAACTACAAAGATTCAAGCTAATCACGAAAAAATTGAACCAAAACGTAAGAAAAAAAAAATACTTTCACACTCTGTAAGCTGTTTATATTTTCCCTATAAAATCCGGGCACATTTTAAAAATGCTCCCTGAGTCGCAGTCAAACAGCAACAGGCCAGATGAAGCTACTATGGTGAGAAAAAGCATAGAGAACATAGTTATGGTGGAACTAACAATACTGCAGAATGGGAGAATTGAAATAGAATGAAGTAGGATGAAAGTAGAATGAAAAGTGGCCCCTATGTCCTCCAGCTGCCTAAACTTATAGCAGCAAAAATATAGAAAATATCTCAGGATAACCTAATCATTTTGCATAAGATATGAGAAAGATTAAGCCAAGGAGAAGACTCTCTTTGGAATGAATTCTCCTCCACTAGATAGAGACGTCTACGGAAGAGGATTAGGGCCACTGAAAAAAAAAAAAAAAAAGTTAACTGATTTTTTAATTTTTTTTTTTCAGTTTAGTATGGGAAAAAAGTCAGAATTCTGACTTTAATCTCAGAATTCTGACTTTTTTCTCAGAATTCTGACTTTAAATAAAATTTAAAAATCAGTTAACTTTTTTTGTTTTTTCAGTGGCCCTAATCCTCTTCCGTAGACGTTTACTTTGCCTAGTCCTCCTTTCTGAAAAAACAAAAAGCAAAAAAACAACTCCTCCTTCTGAGGCAATATGTGGAAGCAGTAAAAATGAACAACTTCTATTCCAGAAAGGGAAACCTCCATCAGATACTTCATAATGTGTATACTAAAGTTATCCTTTTATTATTATTACGTTAGTTATTGGTTGATTCATTACTCTTTTATTTATTTATTTATTTATCTTTATTAAGTGAAGACAGAAGGATGGTTTAGTACCTGCTTTTATTTTGAAGTTCCACCATTATTACTTCTGGTCATCTTCTGATGTGCTCTGCTTTAGGCCGGTAGATGGCGCTGTAGATCAAGGATAAAGGACACACAGCTGGGATCAAAGTTTAAGCAACATAACCCTCCTAAAAGGTACATAGAGCACTCACACCGACCTGTCAGTAAAGAGTTTATTGAATAGCAGCTACATTTTCTCTGTCTTCGTCTGAGAAGATCCATTATGACGTCGTGACGTGTTGCTTTCGTGGCCATCGCTGTTGTAAGACGCAGGTCGTTTTCCAGGAGCGTTTCGGGTTGTGTTTACCAGTAAACAAAACAGACCTAGAAGTCACTGTTTCATAACTTAGAAAATGAATTTTAGAATGACTGACCTGCCAGCGTTTCTGATAATATATCTCTGGATTGTTTTTCTCAAAATCACAATCAAACAAAAACTTAACATAGATTTCAGAGTTTAATATTTCAATCCTGAAAGGAAATAATACATAATAATAATGATTTTAAAATGTTGGAAAAAGAGTGAAATGCTCATGTGTGATGCTGTATTTTAACGTCATAACACCTGTTTTATCTCCTCTCTGTAAATAAGATCATGTATCCTGTTGATCTGCCCCCTGTGGACGAAACCGAGCTGACATCCGCATCTGAAAATTACCTAACTTCCCTGAAGGGAACACCTTCCAACAATGAGTGGTCTGGGTCTCAAAGGGTAAGATAACACCGGGGTTTATATATATATATATATATATATATATATATATATATATATATATATATATATATATATATATATATATATATACGAGCCAATTTGAGAAATTGATTTATAGTTTAAGAAAAGGTTAAAATACAAGACTGATACATTTTTGTTGTTAAGATTAGATGTTAAGTTTTAAAACTCTAATAATAAAAGCATAGAATATAGAAATGCAATTTGAAATGCATATTTTTGGGCTTCCTGCATGCTGTAATTGTATTATTTTAATTGTAATTATTTTCTTTTCTTGTACGTACTGTACATAAGGACTCAGGGGAAAACAGATATGCTGGAAGCAACACAGTTTTTAACTGAGTTTATATGAAGAGAATGTGGATGTTCCCTTATTTTTGTTTTCCTTTAATAAACATCAAAAGTTGAAGAACATTATCTGGAATTGCTTGCATTTCAATACTTGTTGCTAGACTGTTTTTCCATGCGGCACAGAAGAAACTATATATATATTATTATATTAAATTATACTACTTATACTTCAGTATCAAGGTGTTACTTTATTGTATCTCTTATTTGTTGGTTGTGCTGCTCTTCTTATATCTCATTGCAGGTGATAAAGCAGACTGAAAATGTTTTTTCATTATCTCCCTTTTATCTCCTCTTTCTTTCATCTTTTCTTTTCCTTTCTTGTTCTACTTACATTGCAGTGTCCATAAAATCTGTAATACTCCCTGAACAATTATAATAAAGCAATTTATATGCATAAATCAAGCAGAACACTATGGCGATAGCAGTACTGCTCCACTTGTGAAAGTAAAATCTGTGGGGCTCTCTTTGGCATCAAGACAAATATTCTTATTGCCACATCGACAGACAGGACACTGCTAAAAAAAAAAAAAAAAGCCCTCAGTAGTGATTCTCACAGGTACGTTCTTTCTGCAGTTATTAAATGTAGGATTAATGACAATGAGGTTAAATCAGCTCAATAAAATGACCAGAGAAGAGGCCAGATCTATTTAAAGTGTCGTTTTTGAGTAACGCCTTCCTAGTTTCCATCCTGCAAAGCTGACCTCAAAGAATTCAAACTGTCATGAAAACCAGAGGAGCTGAAACCGAGTCTGATAATGAGACAGAAACTCTAAAGACAATAATCTGACCTTTGCTTTAATTTATTTCCTCTGGGAAAGTTAAAAACCTGAGCATTGTTCTTAGAGATGTTTGCTGATGATAATCATTCTCTTTGCACAGGTTGCCATAACACCTTCCAACATCAGCCAGTTCCAGCTCTTTGAGGATGACCATCCTGCCTGCACTGTGCTGGCGCTTCATCCTCCTAATGATCAGACATTAGGTGTGGAGCTCAACACAGGTTTTCAGAAAAACTATAATATTAGAAAGACACTAACTCTTTCCTCATTACTGTTACCTTTTGAGTCTTGGCGTTATACCTGCATAAGCAGTGGTGGGGCCTGGACGATGTGCTGCGGACCTCCACTTCCAGGAGTGGCTTACAGTCGGTGAGTGAATTAATGTCACAATGCAAAACAGTACGACTTTCACACCTTAAAAAGCAAAACATCTGTAGAGTTTCTGCACATTTGCCACCTTTCTGTATAGATTAGGCTCAGATCAAATAAAACTGAACAGCATCAAATGTTTCCTAAAGAAATATGTTTATGTTGCCACAGAAACTAAGCTGACAGGTCGTCCACAGGTGCAGACGATAATGGAGAGGCTGATCATATTCCTGCTCAGTCGGGTGGTGGAGAGGCCCCCGTCGCATGGAGAGGTGCTATTCTCTCTGCACCCGCGCACAGAAAACTGCAAAGTGCTTTGGAAGGACAACCAGGCGGTTGGATTTTACACTGTCAAACACAAAGGTGGGGCGCTGAAACGAGATCAGTTGGTTTGCATTAAGGAAGCAATTCCTGCTGATCTTAGGAGGGGATTTCCATTTAAGGGACTTCAGCTGATGAATTCACAAAACTTTTAGTTAAAATTTGAAGAATCAACCGTGATTGTAGTAATAAAACTACAAGTCTCTGGAAGATGGCTCTCAGATAGCTTTGGTTTCTTGATTACAAAAATTTTTTTTTCCAAGTCTTTCATGCAAAATAGCTCAAGCTCACTCAGACCAAATGGAGAGCATCTGTAAAAATCCAAATGCTGTCACAGATTCTAAAACTCTAGTCCTGATCTGGCCTGGACCATTCTATGGAGTGAGTTTTGTTCCAAGATTCTTTCAAGCAGAAGACATATTTTGTAAATAGAAATAGAAAAAAAGCATTTTTATGTTTGCAAAAAAAAAAAAAAAATCCAATCCAGAAATGAACCTTTGACAAACTTTCTAATAAAAGAAAAAGGATTTTGAGAGTTCACTGTTTTATAAGAAAAGAAAATCATTCTAAGTAAAGAACAGAGTTACTTTCAAAACTAATTTAATATGAAGTTTCATGTCTGGATTGCATTTAAAAAAAAAGTTGTTTACAAAATGTTTTCTTTGCATCAGTAACGGAACGAAATTCACTTGAGACACTGAGAAACATGAATATGTTTTGATGTGAACTACTGATGTGAACCACATGTTGGAGATTGTTGTTTTGCTTTATGAAAGTCAGCTGTCCTCCCAGGCAGTCTGTGCGACCGCTGGAGCAGCCGCTGCTACCTGCTGCCCGTCCTGGACACGGCCTTAGTGAGGAAAAGCTGCAGGAGAAGAGGCTTCGGCCTTCAGATGCTTCACGACTTCTGCTCCTCATTCTCTTCGGAGGACTTCCTTGGAGTGAGCTCCCCCTTGTCGTCCAGCATGGTAGCAGGTCTGCATGTCTACTTATAATCTAAACCCACTCCTGGCATTCTTTGGGACTTTTTTAGAATGACAAAGCGGATATTTCTTTGGAAATGAAATGGCTCCACTGGAAGTGAGGTGGAAATGTTCAGACATGCACACCGTTGTCACAGGGTGTAACTTTATGGTTGTTGCATGCTTGTGTTTTATTTGGTGACCTGAATAACCATTCAG